TTCAAGGGAGTTTACTCCTGCATAACTATGCACAAGAGTGCCGTCATGCCGCATGGCTCATCCGGGTTGTCAGTATAGTTGTTCTCTGTGAATCAACACAGCTGCCTGCATTTTTGGACTCTCCCTGTGAGTGCGGCTATGAACTGTCCTTGGAGACTTTCCTGTTGAGTTCCTGCAGCTCAGCATTAACCTCTGGAACGCAGGAAGCTGCCTTGAACGCAGTCAGACAGTTGGTCCCACCTAGCTCAGTGATGTCTAAACTGGCTGGCAGCATTTCTGAAGGGCTTCAGGCAGGGAAACTCTCCCAGCCCTTGCCTGGAGAGGCCAGGGGTTGAACCCAAGACCTGCTGCCTGCAAGGCTCGACCTCTGAGCTACAGCGCTTCCCTGGGGACAAATCCCTTAAGAGAAAGGGTTGGGATATAAATGTGTGATGGTGGCAGGCATCACCATTGTGGTCAGAAAGAGCAGAACTAAAGGATCAAAGGTTGGGTTTTACTTGTGTGCCTGGGATGCCTTTGTCACCTGCACTCAAGAGACAGAAATGTAATTTCACTGAACTGTGCAACATTATTTGCTTTAACCCAGTTCATTTTTATTCTGGCAAGGAATGCAGTGACTTGGTAGAGGCTGAACATGCTTTGATGTAGATTGGCTTAATTGTGTGTTAGTTTATTACTTGGCAGGGGGTTACTCTTTCTGGCAATTCATAGTCCAGGTAAGGTGAGCCTCCTCAGCTCTGCAGCATTTTGATTTGAGCTGTGGCTGGTTTATGTAAATCTTGCTAACAATGTATAACTGTGCATCTTTCAAAACAGCATGGAATATATCTGAATAGGTAAATAGAGAAAAGGAGCAGATTTTGTGATTGTCGCAGAACGTCGTCTTTTCTTATTACGCTTGTTGCCATGCTCATCCTGGAAAAACTTGAGAGAAAATGGGCTTGCATCTCTCTGTACTTTGAAATAGTAGCAGATATCGGGATCCCAGTTAAAGAACTTCGTGGGTTTTCATTCTGGGCAAGGACTCATGAAAACAGATTGTGAAACATGCTGAGATGGTGCGGGACAGCATTTCCAAATATGGAAGGCATTATAAACCACCACTCTTACAGGAAGTTAGGCATCTATGGAAAGAATGATTTTTGAATGATTTTCAAATACTCTTCTGGCTAGGTCATCTATTGCAAAGGATTTTGGATGGTTTATTATCAAGGCTTTGAGCCTTGATAATACAGAATCATAGAGCTGCCTAGGCGTATCAAATTTTTTTTTAATTTAAAAAAATGATACAGTGTTTATGTGTATAGGTATGGCTTATTACAACCATATGAAGCTGGAGTTCTGGTTGTGAGTTTGAAAATATAAGGAAGACCCTTTGACATCCAAGGATTTTTCCATTTGAAGAAGGATGGGTTTATACTTCTTACAGGGCTACAGACCTGATTGCCTGGTGATTTGTGAGGCTCTTAACACAAAAAGGCAGTTCCTGTGTTGCCACAAGTTTTTACATCCAATATCCAAACTAAGGATACTCCTGTGATGGTTAGGGCCTATATCACAGCATCTTAGAATTTTGCAGCAACAATGTCATATTAATTGGGGGGGAAATGGGCACTAATGCTGAATGGCTTCTGCTATTCAGAGCCAGCCCTACCATTTGACTGTGGCAGCCACCTGAGGCAGCTGATTTTGGCTGTCTCAGCCTAATGGTAGACATCAATAAAATGGTACGCAAGTTTTTATAAATTGCTTTGTAAAAAAACAACAACCCCTAAATCAAATGGTGTGTAAATAATTATTTTATGAAATAAGATGTTGGTTATTTAATTTATTATTGATTTTATTTCTACTTCCAGGGAGCAGAAGAGCTTTTCTGTCTCAAGTGCTAAAATAACTGGAAAGACTTTGGGTACCATGACCAGTGTAGAGTACTTTGGGGAGAGAGGATGCTATTTACTGCTCTGCGTTAGGCACCAAAATGTCTTAGGTCTGCACTGCTGCTATTTTAATCTGAATACTACGATCTTCTTCAAAGGAATCCTTGATGATGTCACGTTAATGTTCAGAGAATATCAGGGGTTACCACCATCTCTTCTTCATATGCTGGTTCCTCTTATTAGTATAACAGAGAGAAAGGTCCTAGCAGTAATATGTGTAAATGCATGGGAGAAATGAAAACACATCAGCCAGTAAGTGCTTTCAGGGTCAAATTTCAGTTGGTTTCTATAGGACTTGTGTCTGCGTGAATATGTTTGAGGTTTGATTTGGACACAATAAGCTTGGGTATTAAGATAAAGCCAGTCTTTGTTTTTTTTAAAGAGTCTTTGCTCATTCTTCCACAGCTTGTTTGACATCCACTTGCGTCCAGGAGCTATTTTTTTATTTACACCAATGTTAGCTGCTGCTCTGCAGGAAGGAAATGACTGTTTCCCAGCAGTATATCTGCAGGTGGTTTCAAATCTCTATTCTTTATAGGGCTGAATTATTACTCGTTTCTTATCTTCAGCATTTTTGTATGGGATCATGGATTATTGGAGCTATTTAAGAGATGACTAATTCAGAACTGTCAGTCATACTTTTTTTTTTTAACCTAGTCATGGAAATCAAGGCTGTATAAGCTTGGCTGACATGTTTGGCCTCCATAGAGTCATTAAGTGCAAAATACGGTAAGCACAAAGTGAACTGTCCCTTACATGTTTTATGTTTACTTGGAAGTAATCCCTAGTGAGTTCAGCAAGATTATAACTTCCAAATACATGTGTATAGGATTGTGACCTTAATGTGTATCACCCTGTGGGGTTCCTTCACCCCAAATTAAAAATAAATGAGGAATGCCTGATATTAGAGTGGAATTAAAGCCTGGGATACTGATCAAGATAGAAGTCCAACTGTCCAAAACACAATTAGCTCCTCTTTCAGCATTGACACCTCTCCTAGTTGACTAGAGAACTTGGAGACAAGTCAGTCCCAAACCGGAGGACAGTGATGTCACAAAAAAGAGAAATGTGGATTTCTGCTTCCAATGGCCATGAAAAGCAGATTGTTAAGATGTAACCATGAAGATTTCAATGGAATTTATTTAGGTATAACAAGGCACAGAGTTCTTGGAAGCTTTAAAAAAATCTATTTTATATTTTTCCAGTTGAGGATTTGTGTCTTTAGTATGCTGTTGCAGCCATCTTCACAGTTTCATAGAATTGTAGAGCTGGAAGAGACCACAAAGGCCATCTAGACTAATTTCCTGCAAATGCAGGAATCTTTTGTCCAATGTGGGGCTCAAACTCATAACCCTGAGATTAAGAGTCTCATGCTTTGCTGGTTGAGTATGTGAAGGAAACTTCACAGAATGAAGAGGAAACGGGATTGTATCACAGGCCCAGCTCCTAACATTAGGAACTCCCAATGCCTCACCCCAACCGTAACCATGCATGAAGTGAGGAAGCCTACATGCATAGACTTTCCGTCTTCAGACGTTCCCCTTAATCATGTGGAGCCTTCTTCATAATGTGTGAAAAGGGCTTAAGTCTCTCTTACAGGGATGGGAAACCTGTGGTCCTCCAGATGTTGGTGGACTATAGATCCTATTATCCCTGACCTTTGGCTGTGGTGGCTGGAGCTGATGGGAGTTGGAGTTCATCAGTATCTGGCGGGCCGCAGATTCTCCATCCATGCTCTCCAGTTTCTGAAAATCCTGTGTATTGTTGCAATTCCCATCCAGGCCACTCAGGGTGGGAGCAGGAGTGGAAAAACAGAGGGTGGAGGAAACCACACCCAACAAATCTTACACTGCATTGGCACTATGACGATCTCTGACCACATAATCGTCTCCATCTGTCTGTTTAGTTGCTTGTATGGTGGCTACTCAAGTGGTTCAGGTCAGCTATAACAATGCCAAAGACACATCCTTAAAATGAAAGGGGGCAGCTTTAACGTGACAGAACCATTCCAGCACCAATCATCCAAGCACGTAACACTGGAGGGAGGTTCCCACAAGTCTTGGAAATCAAACAGTAGCCGTGCTGCCAGCATCTATGTGTGATTCCCAGCCATTTTTCAGAAATGAGAAGGGGACAGTGACTTCCAGATGATGCCATGTGTCGCCAAAGTTGCACAGAGTGTTCTAGGAAGTGCACACAAGATTTATTTAATTGGTTCAATGTCCCAGCAAAACTTGGGCTTTGAAGCCTTTCTTCAGAGGGAGATTATTTGGTTAAATGGATTTTAATACACACATAGCATTCATTAGGCACCATGGTCTTTTGTGTAGCTATATTTATTACATTCCCCCAACCCTGAAGAATCTAAAATGGATACTTCATTGGGTCCATAAATCTTACGTGTGCCTTCCTAGAACCTTTATTGCTCTGGGGCTATTGCCCTCCTTTGTTGTCAATGGTCATCATAGTTCTGCAACTGGTTGTTTTAGATCAGGCTTAGGCAAACTCTGCCCTCCAGATGTTTTTGGCCTACAGCTCCCATGATCCCTAGCTAACAGGACTAGTGGTCAGGGATGATGGGAATTGTAGTCCCAAAACATCTGGAGGGCCAAGTTTGCCTATGCCTGTTTTAGATTGTGCATGGTGAATTTTTAAAAGTACTAAATGTACATTATGAAAACAGTGTTGTCACTCCTATGACTATGCTGGCTAGGACTGATGGGGTTTGTAGTCCAAAACATCTGGCAGGCACCTGGTTGGTGAAGGCTGAAGTAGATGGTCTAAGCAAGATCACATAATTGGAAGGACATCTATGTAGGTTTCTCAGGAAAGCACCTATGCCAGTCTATTCAAGAATAGGTCCCATTGAGTTCAGTGGCACTCTTAGGTAAATGTACATAGGATTGCAACTGACATCTTTGCTCATGATTTCTCAGCCTAAAAAAACTATGGCCAGTTCTGACAATTGCTTGTACTTAATGAAAGCTACAGGTAGGTAGCCGTGTTGGTCTGCCGTAGTCGAAACAAAATAAAAAAATTCCTTCCAGTAGCACCTTAGAAACCAACTAAGTTTGCTATTGGTATGAGCTTTCATGTGCATGCGCACCTCTTCAGATACCTGAAGATCATCTGAAGAAGTGTGCATGCACATGAAAGCTCATACCAATAACAAACTTAGTTGGTCTCTAAGGTGCTACTGGAAGGATTTTTTTTATTTAATGAAAGCTATTACAGTCAAGAGAAATAATCATTTTGCAGAGTCTGTGGAAGAATTACCATATTTTTTGCACCATGACACTCACTTTTTTCCTCCTAGAAAGTAAGGGGAAATGTCTGTGCGTGTTATGGAGCGAATGCCTACGGATGGTGGGGGGAACTGCTGCAGTCGTGAGCAGAGGATCCATGGTTCCCCTTCCTTCCCTCCTCCGTGGCTCGCTTAAGCGGGAGAAGAGCCGCTGAGTGGGGAGGAGAGAGAGACAGAGAGCCTGCTTGCTTTAAAGGAGCAAAGCGGGAGAGGAGAGGAGCCGCTTACACGAGTGTAAGCGGCTCCTGTCCGGTTGGCTCCTTTAAAGCAAGCAGGCTCTCTGTCCCTCTCTCCTCCCCACTCCTCTTATAAGAGCCTTCTCCTCTTATGCCCCTCTTCTGCATTATTAACAGCATCCTTCTCCACCCACCCCACGTGTGTTCCTTGTCCCTTGAGTGCTTTTCCTTCCCTCCCCACTTAAAACTTGGTTACAAAGCACGGATCCACATGGATCCTCAGGATTTTTGCACTGGGTCACCCCAAATTCACCATCAGATCACATAGCATGTCCATGGCTACAGCTTGCACCAAAAAAATCAAGCACCCACTGTTGCCTGGGGCCGCAGTGGTGCAAAACGTGGTTACAAAGCACGGATCCACATGGATCCTCAGGATTTTTGCATTGGGCTACCCCAAACTCACCTTCAGAAATGTATGTCTGTGGCCACAGCATGAACCACAAAAATCATACATCCACTGTTTCGTTTAGAATATTTTTTTTCTTGTTTTCCTCCTCTAAAAACTATGTGCGTGTTATGGTTGGGAGCGTGTTATAGAGCGAAAAATACAGTGGTGCCCTGCAAGACGAATGCCTCGCAAGACGAAAAACTCACTAGACGAAAGAGTTTTCCGTTTTTTGAGTCGTTCCGCAAGACGAATTTCCCTATGGGCTTGCTTCGCAAGACGAAACGTCTTGCGAGTTCTTGCGAGTTTGTTTCCTTTTTCTTAAAGCCGCTAAGCCGTTAATAGCCGCTAAGCCGTTAATAGCCGCTAAGCCGTTAATAGCTGCTAAGCCGCTAATAGCCGCTAAGCCGCTAATAGCCATGCTTCGCAAGACGAAAAAACCGCAAGACGAAGAGACTCGCGGAACGGATTAATTTCGTCTTGCGAGGCACCACTGTATGGTAAGATTATGGTTCTGGTTCAGTTTCCAATGACAATGTGCACTATTTCAGGGTCTTCCTGTCACAGGTGAAGTCCTGCTCCTGTTATCTCGGTCCTTATGGACAGACAGCTTGCTTTTTTTTTTTTTTGTAGCAAAGGCTGTTTAAGGCTGCAACTGATAAGATTTGCTTCTTGATGGGACTGGAAAAGCAGTAGTAATGCACAGAGTCTGCACTGGCTTTATTACAGCCTTTCCAATACGACCTCTGTAGTTCAAGGCGCACTCTGACATTTTGTTGTTGCACTGAGGTATGCCGATCCTGGCAAAGTCTCCACTCCGTACCGCTCTGAAGCAGTTAGTACAAGACATAGTGAAGACCACTGTCTCCTACACCCTTTCTAAGAATGAATTAGCCCAACCCTCCATTAACCATACCTATGCCAGTGAGGTTTCCATGCTCACAGATCTTTGTACATTTCTGAAAGGGATGGTGGACCCACCTACAACCTTTACTTGTTGAAATCCTGGAAGTGTTTGCTTGGCTACTAGAGGAAGTAGGATGTTGAGCTAGATGGGTACCTGGTCTGAACCAGGAAGAGTCGTCATGAAGTGGCGGGGATGGGAGTCCTTGTTTCACACTACAAAAAAGGTGGGTGGATTAAAGCCCTGTGAGTTATCTATTGCAGCTGTTGTCTGTGGGCAGAGCCGGTGCCCTCGGGTTCTTTTCGCAACTGTTAGCTCTACAGTGGTACCTTGGGTTAAGTACTTAATTTGTTCTGGAGGTCCGTTCTTAACCTGAAACTGTTCTTAACCTGAAGCGCCACTTTAGCTAATGGGGCCTCCTGCTGCTGCCACGCCGCCAGAGGACGATTTCTGTTCTCATCCTGAAGCAAAGTTCTTAACCCGAGGTACTATTTCTGGGTTAGCGGAGTCTGTAACCTGAAGCATATGTAACCTAAAGCGTATGTAACCCGAGGTGCCACTGTATTCCTGTACCACATGAGTGTGCAGTAGTGCACCTCTTATGGGATAGTTGACAGTCTTTCCCTACCAACAGTCCAAGTAATTCAATCTGCTTAGAAACAAGAGCAGTTCCATTGCCATATCAGCAATAGGAATAAATCTCTGTGCTAGCTTGTAGGGAACTAAGCTTCAGTATGGTCATGTTGAAGTGACCACAGGGCAAAGAGTCCAAATATCATGAACATTAGTTCTTTTTGGCTTATGTGGTTCCATGGGGTTCTGTTTTGTCCCCAAACTTTTTATTGTCTGCATGAAACCACTGACAGAAGAGTCATCTGATGATTGGGAGTTGGGTGTCATCAATATACAGGTGATACACATATCTATCATCTATCTATCTATCATCTATCTATCATCTATCTATCTATCTATCTATCTATCTATCTATCTATCATCTCACTCACTATCTCTATTGTGCTGTGGTAATCCTGAACTGTTGTCTGGGCTCAACGGACTGAATATGAGCTAATAAACTGAAGTTTAATCCAGACAAGACTCAAGTGCTTTTTGAATAGTAGGTCTGGGTCATGTCGTTCTGGCTGTTGTATCACTCCTGGTTAGATCTAGGTTGGACTACTGCAGTGCACTCTGTTTGGGGCTGTCCTTGAAGAGTGTTACAAAGAGCTATTAAAAATGTAGCATCTAGTGTAGTTTTGGTGTTCACTGCTTAGGATGCATATATTATATCAGTTCTTTTTCATTAGCTCTGGTTCCGATTAATTTCAGTTCACAGTTCAAAGTGGTGTTTGATACCTAAAGAGTCCTAAATGGCTTTGGGGCCAGACTTTCTGAAACACCCTCTCTTCCTGCATGGATCTGCATATTCACTGTACAGTATTAAGCATCTGAAGATCTGTTCCATGTTCCACCATCTTCATTGATGTGCTTGGTTGGGGAACATTAGAACAGCACCAGATTGTCCAGCTCCTTTTCAAAAGAGGTTTTATTTTCCCCATTTCTTTGGATGGCATAAATGTTCTTTTAATTTGCCTTCAACTCCTGTTGTGAAGAGGGTTTAAAAACACACACACACACACACACACACAAAACACACCTGACCCTAACAGCCCTACTGAATACTGATTGAGATATTGTATTTCTTTTATCTCAATATTTTAATTTTATTCTAGTGTTTTTTCATCTGGAACCAGCATTTCGGGGCAAAAAGTGAGATAGAAATTATTTTAAATAAATAAATAAATAAAATCAAGCAAAGATTAAAAGGGCTTGGAAAGTTTTGTTGTTGTTTTCTTTGGTAGATGTGAAAAAAACCAGAGCTCTTGTGCTGTGTGGTCCTCTTGCATTATTCTGACCTGTGGAATAAAGTCTCTTCATCCAATAGGCTCTCAGTCAAACTTTTATACCAAATTCAAAGTCATTAAATCATTTATTCCCTTAAAAGCTTTGACTTCTCTGTTAGAAAGATCTTATCTCAAGGCACTCCCAAACTCCCCTTCTTGTTATGCTCCATACTAAGTTATACTTGGCTCATTTCCTAGAAACTTTCTCTGAAAGATTTCTAAGCATACCAGATACTTACAATGAAACAATATGTGATAAGGCTTCTGCATAATATCTAGACATTTATCATCATTTTACTTAACCTGCCTATTTAGCCTAAATAAGAGCCACTCAAATTCCGACTAGCCTCACATTTCTGCAGTCTGGATTTTATGGTCAAATATTTCATAATTGTTCTATAAATCTCTAGTCCTTTTCCGTAGTCAAAAGCACCTCACAGTAAATATGTTAATGTTATCTATGTGCTTCTTGCTTTGATGTGCCACATTGGAGTAAAAAGGTCCAATTGAGAATATTTTGTGACTGGGCTTTGTTGCAAATGCAAGATTTCAATTCCTTTATACTTTTTCATTGGGAGGGAATGACATTATTCCTGCCAATCTGCAAGCCTGGTGCCTTAACAAATGCTGTCCATAACAGCTTGCGAGGGCTAAATGCCATGACTGTCCCACTGGGTTTTTAAAAGAAGAAATACTCTGATTTGGTCAGCATGTCGCTACTATAATTCTGTAGTAAGCATTATGCAGATGCCATGATGTAGCTTGGCATGCACTTTGTGATGATGGTCAAGATCTGGTTCAGGGTTGCAGTTTCGGCAGCACAGTGACTGAGCAACTGTTTTACATGCAGGAGAAGTCAGGTTGAATTCCTGATATCTCCGGGTAGGACTGGGAAATGCACCTGTCTGAGGCTCACCACTTAAGAAATTTATTTATTTTAAAATATATATTAAGTGGTTTATGATTGCTTTAAAATACATGGCCGATAGACATCTAATGAGTTCATGCATAAGGTGGACATTGACCCTGACTTCCCATGTTCACATCCCAGCATTCTCTCTGTCTTGTATTGCAAATGTTTCCATACCCTTTTATGTTTAAATAATTTAATGTTCAAATAAATAAAGCTGTCCTATAATGCTTTAAAAAGTGGAGTTAAAAAACATTTTTTTAAAGAGCAGATATTTACTCACGGTTAACTTTGCTTCTCCCAACAGCTGGGCATCCACATCTGGACTCATGTTTTACAGTTCCTTTTTTCCCAACTGCAGACAAGGTAAGCAAATCAGTTTTTTCAAGGGACTAACCAGAGACAATTTGGATTCCAATGCAAGCTAAATGGAGGGAAAGCAAGAAGTTGAGAATTGGCGTTCTCCTTAGTTTCCACTATGCCATCATTTTTGCAGTGCATCTTGGCCCTGGGGGGCAGGCAGCAACCTACAGGGTGGG